TCAAAATCCATTTGTGAAGGGTTTCAAAGTTATAGAGAAAAATACGTCTTTCAGGTGTCCTATTCGAAGGGGCGTAGCTCCCTTAGGAAGCATTTCCGGACCCATGTTAATAAGAACTTTTTGTCTTATTTTTATGCAAGGAATAAGCCGCCGAAAGGATGCCGCCTACTTTTGAATCACCCTGTATGTGTGAGTATTTGAAAACCGCGATAAAAAACAGGAAAAATAGAAAACTTTGTCGTTGGTGGGTTAGACCGTGGATAAAAAAACGTATATATGAAGGTGCTTCTGTAAAGCTGATAAAATATTGGGGAACAGGAGAATGACCGAAGAGAAATTTGAAGAACTACAGAAAGTGGATGACTTTGATTGTTGAAAATGTCTGCACGAGAACAAAACAAAGTACACACTACTTATGGGAGATTTATAAATGCAAAAAAATAGGGCAAGATGACACTGACTCATGTTACATTGGCAAATTCGGACATGGTACAAGAAATGAAAGAGATAACATGCTTATCAACTTATTAGAAAAAGATCAACTCTTTGCGATTAATACATTATTCAAAAAAAAGACCCAACAAAAAATTGACATGGGCAAGCATAGATGAAAAGATAAAAAACGAAATAGACTTTATACTGACACATCAAAAACACATAATCCAAAATGTCGACGTCTTAGGCTCATTCACGACTCGCAGCGATCATAGAGTGGTAAGATGTAATGAAAAATAGCCATAAATGGCAGATTAGAGAGAGAAAAGAAATTCAACCGCTCCCAAAATAAATTAAGCACACATACCAGTAAAACAAAACGAAAATTGAATAAAATTAAGACAAAAACTAGAAAATGACCCAATAAAACCTTATGAAGATATGAATCAAATTAATAAAAGATTAACGAAAACAATAAAAGAAACAGAAAAAAATATCAAGACACCGAAAGGTAAGCCAGAAAAATTTAGCAAAGAGACAAAACAAATAATGTTAGACAAGAGAAGAGGACTCATAAAACAAGAAAAAAAGATACACCAGAATACAGAGAGACTAATAAAATAGCCAGAAGAATGACAAAACAAGGCACTAAAAACTACCAAGAAGCACAAATCGAAATACCAGAAGAACAACAAAAAGGCTTGGACATTTTCAAACTGGAGAACGCACACAAAAGAGAAATTAAAAAGCTGATGGACAAACAAGGAAACATTACAAGCAAAAAGCAACAACGAAAATAACAAACAAGAAACATCCAAAATTCTAAATGTTTGCTCAGAAGAAATCCCTGATATAGAAGTGGAAGAAATTGCAAAAACGCTAAGCCAATTAAACAACGGAAAAGCCCCAGGAATGGACGATATACTACCAGAAATGCTGAAGGAGGCAGAAGAATACCATGTGAAACAACTGAAAACCCTTTCCAATAAATATCTAATGGAGGGGAAAATACCACACGACTGGGAGACTGCCATCTTCGTTCTGATATACAAAAAAAGAGACTCATCAAATCTTGAAAACTTTAGACCCATAAGCCTCTTATCTCAAATATACAAACTGTTTATGGAAATAATCATCAACCGCCTAGAAAGGAAATTCGATGATTACCAACCTAAAGAACAAGCAGGCTTATGAGAAATACACGAAAAGATCAACGATATATAACCATAATCAAAAATATTCAAAAGGCAAAAAAAAATAAGAATGCATAAAGATACAAACGAAGTGAAAATCAAAAAAGGCGTGAGACAAAGCGATATAATATCACTTAAGCTAAGCTTTTCACCCTAGTCCTCGAAGATGTGTTCAAGGAACTACATTGGGCAAAAAGTGGGATCAATATGAAGAAAACCTCAATAACTTAGCATTTGCTGATGACATCGTAATATTTGTCCCGAACGAAACAGACTTAGAAATCATGCTGAAAGAATCACTTCAAGAAGCCAAGAAGATCGGATTAGAAATGAACTTATTAAAAACAGAGTTTATAACAAATGAGCAAACAGATAGGGACACAATATCCATAGAAAACCAACCAACAGGTGAAAAAAATAAACTCCTATAAGTATTTAGGACAGGAAATAATACTTGGCAAAGCCAATTAAGAGCTTGAAATTAATAGATGAATACGACTGGGATGATGGGCAACGTATGGTAAAATGCGCCACATATTCCGGTCCAAGTTATCCTTGAAGCTGGAAACATGAACGCTGACAAAGAAAATCCTAGATAAGCTGCAGGTACCATCGTCACCAAAAGTATCTGGGACACAAATAATGCATAAAAATCTCCTGGACTAATTCTACTGTCATTCATTTCAATGCATTTAAATTATAGTTTGACAAATATTTGACAATAAAATTCATATAATAGGACAAGAGCTAATGTGATGCTGTCCCAGTTACTTTTGGTGACGATGGTACATCAAAGAGCAATCGAAAGGAAAATGATAGGTAAGTATCACACTAAACTAAGGGCCAAATTATGGACTATTAAACGTCTGATTGTTACCTAGCAGATACTTTCTATGCACTAGAGAATAGAAAGTACCTGCTAGGTAACAGCCAGACACTTACCTTAACATGTGTTTCTTATCCACTCGTTGGTCTTGTGATCCCTTTAGGGCCAAATTATGGACCGACCTGTAACGTTATTGGCACCTTTATCCTGCTGGTAGAGCTTAAAATTGCATGAAATTTTTAGTTTTACCAGCAGGATAAAAGTGCCAATAACGTTACCAGTCGGTCCATAATTTGGCTCTAAAGGGATCACAAGACCAACCAGTGGATAAGAAACACAACAAAGGTCGAAGACATTACTCATAGAATATGGACCCTAAAATGGAACTGGGCTGGCCACGTGGTGGCGAGAAACACAAGCAACAACTTGAACAACTGGAGCGGAAAAGTAACAAGATGGAGACTCGGGAGAGAACGAAGAAGTGTCAGAAGACCTCAACAACGCTGGTACGACATCAAGCGAAAAGCAAAACTAAACTGGTAAGTAGTACAGAATAGAAATACCTGGCAAAATCTGAGAGAGGCATATATCTATAAGAAAAAAAGGAAAGAACTTCTGTTATTAAACTTTATACAGGGTGGCACAGAAGACATGTAGGTTTCCTTAATTTCACAACTTTCAATAGCGGTTGAAGACTTGACTCACATAATGTTCCATTTGAAAATTAAAAATGTTATGCTTACGTGAAAAATATGCGTTTCATCTGCATCAGCCCACCCTGTATAAGTAATGTTATTTATCGCATAATAACAACAGGTAATAAAATAAATAGGTATGTATATAAAAAAAGATGCAAATTGTTGATACCAAATTACTCGATTCAAAGAGTTTCTATGCAAAATTCACCTTCACCCTTCCAACCCCCAGCCACCAGAGCCACCCCCTAGAAAATCTCAAATGGGAAGGGAGATCAAGTGATACATCATTTTGGAGGGTTTCAAATTCCATACATTTTGCTACAAAATTTTAATTCCTAAGTTCAAGTGTTTTGGAAATATTGACAGTTGAAAATTGCCTTTTTTGCTACTTTGACAGGCTGTGAAACCTAAACGGCTTATTTTTGAAGAAAACCGATCTTACATTCTTATCTCAGATTTTCATAAACTAGCATTTGACACCAACTTTGAATTTAACCGGAGATTAATTTTTTAATTGGAATTTTTGATGATAGATTAAGTTTAAAGTTGTTATTAAATGATAGTTTATAAAATTCTAAGACAAGAATGTAAGATCGGTGTTCCTCTAGAATTCACCGTTTAGGCACAGCATATACAAAAACAATCAGCAGGCTAACTCTCACGCGCATCTTTCCTGCGCACGCTGCCATTAGGGGATACCATTCTGTCATTAAACGGCAGGGGCGCCGAAATTTTATTTTATTTCTTTATTTCATAGGCCATAGGCGTGCGGTGTAGAGCGGAATTTTAGTTATGATTTTCGAAGTGATTTTAGTATGTTCATGTTGTCATTTATAGTGTTATCTGTTATCATTGTTGTATATTTAATAATAATAATAATAAATTAGTAATTATAAATATTATTATATGTACCTATGTAAGTAATAATAAATTAGTTTATTTAAAGCCAATACGACTCTGTGACAGGAAAGAAAAAACCTAAATTATTGTTAATCAGGCCCTGTTTCATATCCCAAAATGGCCGCTAGTGACATTTCTACGATGAATGGCAGGAAATATCCAGTTAAGTTCCCCAAAATCTTGTAGAGGGCGCGAGTGAACTTGGAGTGCTTCAAATTTTGGCGGTAAATGTCTATAGTTTTAAACCGTTTAAATTGGGTAGAAGGAAAGATGACTACATATGAACAATGGACAGTCAATACGTTAAAATATCTTCCAAAACGTTCAGTGGCCCTTAGAGAATATTTTTATAAGTGTCAGCGTCAGCTTGTTCTGAAACCACACGTTAAACTTAACTTTTGAGGTTAAAATTACAATCGATTATTCACGCGCCAAAATTTGAAGCGCTCCAAGTACAGAAGCGCCCTCTTCAACTCAACTGTCAATATTACATGCCATTCCTTTATTACTCGGGCTGTCACTCAAGTTAGCCTGCTGATTGTTTTTGTATATGCTGTGGTTTAGGTTTTACAGCTTGTCAAAGTTGCAAAGAAGTCGATTTTCTACTGTCAATATTTCCAAAAAGGGATTGAAATTCAGTACCAAAATGAATGGAATTAAAAACCCTCCAAAATGATGTATCACTTGACTCCCCTTCCTATTCAAGATTTTTTAGGGGGGTTGAAAAGTGGGAGGTGAATTTTGCGTAAAAACTTATCCTCCTCAAATTATAGTTGGATGTGTTTCAGAGATTTTCTCGAAAAAGTTTCTCCACCAAAATAATAGGGGTGGTATTTTGTAAGTTTTGAAATGAACACCCTGTACATCAGGGTCATCATTAGATAAAGAGTGTTTTCGGTGTACTCCCAGGCTATTGTGGTTATTGATCAATAATAAACATTTACTCACCTTTGTTTACACACGAACATTGATATGGCTCGCAAAGTTGCTTCAAGTCAATTTTCAAATCAGCCTCGGAAAACTTCTTGGCATCTTTATGTGGAGGTACCGATATAACAACGTACTCATGATTGGGATGGCAGTGTTTTATATGAAAGCAAAAATACTCGGGCGCCACCGCCCTATATAAGCAATGCCCACAAGTATATATACTCGCCGCATGCCTAATATCTATGTGTGTTGCTACATATTCCCAAGAAGTTTTTACGTCACAGTAGACACATGGTACCATGGTAGTATTGTCAGATGTATGCTCTTTCAAGTGGGAAACAAACGTGGTGCGTACGTTCGAGCTAAATTTGCAAGAAAAATGAGGACATTTGTAGAGATTGTTAGGAGTTTCCATAAACGATTGCAGAGCTTTGGCTCCTTTTTTAGGTCGACTTGCCTCAAGACTAATTAATTTTGTTTCTTTTATCAGTTCAGATTGGGTTACAAGGTCTTCCTGGTTGACTAACATTAATGGACGCTCAACCGGTGCTGCATCTATCGATATGAACGCTTCAGGTTCAAGTAGCAAGTCACCATTAGATGATTTCTGCACGTTTCCATTGTTTCTTTCTTGCAACTTTTGTACGACACTGCAAAGCCAACCTTTTGGCTTATTTTGTCCAAATTTGAAAGTATATCTCTGACCAGAAGGTTCTTTCACCATCACGATCTCTGTCTTGTTCAGTGCTTCATTTCTCTTAGCTTGAGTTTGGACTGTAGCGCCGCTGTACGTGAATAGATCGTTATGGCTTGGGAGAGCCATTTCATTATTTGTAGCACAATCAACTTTTACAGCCACTTTTTCACTGTTGTCTTTGATGGAAGTTCTATTTCTTGCAACATCTTTCATCGATTCTTGGTTGACGGATTCTTCTTCGTAGAGATCTGTAGTTGATTTTTGGTCAGATACGCTACAATGCATCAATTTCATTTTAGCAGCAGCCTTCATCTTAGCTTCCCGATTACAGCTTTCAGAAAGAGTAATGATCCGAAATAAATTATTTTTATTTTCACCTAGAAGCCTATCTAGGCTTCGAAATCTATTTGTAGCAGGAGCAGTATCAACATCCTGAGAATCTTTCATAATAAAATTGGATCTTTCTACTTTTGTCAGTTTTCTCTTTTTAGGTTTTGTTATAATTCCAGCAGCCCATTTCGCATTCTTCTTTCGTCTAGTATTACGTTTTTGGGTCTCTGCAGAATTATTCTTCATCATCGACTTATAAGATGCATTCCTTACATTAGCATCTTTATATAAAATATATTTTGGAACTTCAAGATTTTGTGTACTGTCTTTGGTCGTTTCCATGGTTGAATCGGGACCACAATGAGCTTCATCTAGGATAGCTACATTGTTTTTTATTTCGCTTCCGTGTGATTTAGTCGCTATTCGGTTTGTGCGCTCACCGCTACTGTTATTAGGTGTATCGATAGTGCTACTAATACTGATTTGTATTTCACCGCTACCACTTCGTAAACCATAAATGTGTCCGGTTCTCTTTTGTCCAGCATCGTGAAGACTATTTCTAAGTGAAACAATTGTCTCTTTGTTACCTTCGTTCCCCTGTACATATTTTGAGTACATTAATGAGTTTTCAATCGTGCCTGGTCTCTCCCTATCTCTAGATAATATCGAATTTTCAAAACCGCCTTGTATTATATCTGCGTTTTTTATTTCTTTAGGTCGTAGATCTTTCATCACATCTTGGTTTTGAGAGAATTTGGGTCCTCTTTCATAGATGTGCCTCTTTTCGCCATAAGCATAAGTTCCTTGCGGGCGCCTGCCTCTTCTATTGCTCCTTCCTGACCACTGGGTTCGCTCTTGGCAACAAGGTTGCTTATAGAAGTAATTTGGCTGTACATAATTTGTATTGAGTTGCCTTTGATTTCCGTTCCAGTAAATGCTTTGAGGAGCTTCGTAAAAGGTATTATTATTGCTTAGACTCGATGGATTTTGCTGAATAAGAGCATTCATAGCTAAATTATAGTCACTCATGTGACCTGGTTGCTGAACGCAATGATTTTCAATAAATTGAGATGCGTCATAATTGTTTGCAGGCGGCAAAGTAAAGTTGGATCTGGGAGTCATGTCGCAGTAATTATCACGCCTATCATAATACTCACTATTGTAATCACGCCTCAAAGCACTATTGAATCTTGGCTCATTGACGCGTTCATCATCAACATGAGAACAACTGCGAGTTGTCAAAATTCCAGCACCAGTTCGCTGCATAAACGATCTTCCTAGTAATTCAGGATTTTGTGAAACATTATCTGGTATCGTTAAAGGAGGTAATACGTGTCTGGGAAGTTCACAAACGGTTGGCGGTTGTGAGGATGCTGATAAAGGACTTTCGAAAGATTGAATTACATCAGGTGTGCGCAAATTATATTGAGATAGTTTTTGTATTTTTGAAGTTGGTTTTGACCTTGGATCATTCAGAACAGGTATGGTTGGGTTTGAGTTTTGGGTAGCTCCTAAGGAACTTTTACTAACAATTTGCTCCAAAGGTTTTGGTGGTAAAGTTGAGTACGGTGTTTTGGGTGTTGGCTGAAATGTATCTGCTAAGCGTTTCTCAACTCGTTTGTTTTCACTTCTCGATTTGTTCGAATCAATAATTTGTGAAGAGCTGGCTTGTGATGCGGATGCGCTTTGAAACCTTTTCGAAGTATTTTTTAAAGATTGCATATATATTATCTCTGATGGAAAACGCTCAGAGGCAACTTCCGTATCAATATTTTCTTCAGTTTCCAAGGGTGTCTGTAAGGCATTTAATGTTGCATTGGCTAATTGTTTATCTTCATCAGCTTTTTTATCTTCTCTGTGTTTGTCTTCTTCACTGTCTAATTTTTTCTTGTTTCGTCTAACTGTTTTCTTATATTTATACTTGTCACTTTCTTTGTGCTTTCTATGACTTCCTCCATGAGAATCTAAACTACCTCTACGGATTTTTCTATTGCCTTGAGTTGACATATGTTTTTTTTCTGTTGTGGCAGATTTGAATTTATGTTCGAGGTTAATTATTTTTTGCTGTAGATTTTCCTGTAAATTTTCTAGGTCTATTATTGGGCATCCATGGTTTATGTTTGACGATACCATTGGGAAGTTCGGTAATTTGGTGATCTTTTTCGGTCGAGAACGTGTGCTGAAAGAAATATTCTATAATTTTCGATATAAATGAATAAATCACTGAACTTACTCAGTTTTGATTTCAGTATTTTCCATACCTACTAAGTTCAGCAAGTTCTTTGGATATCTTACATAAGCTTCAGGAGTTTGTTTCGGCATTATTTTGGAGAGCAATTGAAGTTTCTGGAAAAAAATTAAGTACCTAATCTAATAATGTCTTTATCGCATTAATGAGAAAATCCATGTAAGAATATTAAAGTTAATAATAAAATAAAAATTATAAATTATAAAAAACTCTAACACTAACGCAATAACTGCTCAAAATTTCTACCTTTTGTTCACACGATTAACTTTACAAATAGTGGCAACAATAGAAAACATGACATTAACCGTATCCCGGTCACAGGACTTTGGAGTTGCGCGCATCGCATTATTATCAGTTCAGGCAACGTTTCACCCAGCTGATCACTGATCTGACTATCTGACTGATCAGCTGATTATTTGTTTAAGTTTTAAGGCCCAATGTTATCGTGATCTGAAAATATGTACTTTCTGCCCTGCTTTTCCAGAAAAATTGACAATTTTTAAGAAAAAATAAGATTCAGGGTCTTGGGTTCATGTTAATTTTTTTGAAAACCTAAATTTCGAGCGCGCTTTGTTTTTTAGATAAAATGCTAATTTACAAGGACTTAGATAGCACTAGACGGACTAGTTATTTTGGGTAAGTCTGCATTTTCTGTCTAGAAGGTCTCAGGGCCTGTTCTAAATTGAACATAAAGAGGTTATGTTATCAATTCATCAATCTTGAATCTAGTGAAGATATTGGCGAAAGGTCCCGAAGTAGGCGACATTTATGATTAACTTTGGTACTCAAAACTCAGTGAACAACAAAGCAAGTTTGCATTTGGCCCCCGTCATTATTTCTGGAAGACACTGGAAGTTTTCAATTTTCTACAGAATATTATTCTTTTTATGTAGTGTTTCTGTTATATAAATCACGAAAACACCATAAAACACAATTTAACAAAAACTCACCTCAAAAAACTGGCTTTATTGTTCACTGAGTTCGGCAAACATATTGCTATTTTTCGCGTAATTTAGCGCCATCTATTGGTACAGGAATTTCGCCAATTCCGTGCGCTGATCGCGGACCTTTGAAAAATAAAGCAAGGGTCCGCCATTTACGGATTTATATAAAATATGGTTTCACTACGCGCGGATCTTGTTTTGTTTATTGTTTGTAAAATTGCATCCAGTTCCTCATTTTCATAGATTAATAAATCTCCTGGTGGAAAGGAAGATATATAGATAATGAGTAACAATTTATGAAGAAAACACCAATAATATCATAATATTATAACTAGCATAACAATACAAGCAATTAGCAAAGAAGTACAAAGTTAATGGTTATATATTTAGACTGCCAACACAGCTCTCAACTTTTGATTAATCATTTTTAGAGCTCAGCATAAAGATTGCAATATCAAGCTTAAACATAAACAAATAATCAGGTGCTGGAACTGACAAAAGTGACAAACAAAGAAATAACAGAGGATGCGCGCGAGTCCGAAGCTCTGTGACCAGGTTAGGGCTAATTTTAAATATGAATATACAGGATGTCCCCGTTCAACTGGTCAAAAATGCTAGAGTATGCTGTGGAGGAACCATAAAGAAGTAATTTGAGATAGGACACCGATGGTCGGAAGTGCGTCATTTCCAAAATACAGGGTGATGAAATTTAAACAACCCTCTTTCATATCATCTGGAGGGCTAATGCTAGGCTGTTCAAATTTTCAGGGACTATTGATGTAGGACTGATATTTAAAAATCCGTATAATGCACCCCCATTTTCTACCTGGAGCCACCCCAAAAAAAAAATTGAAACAAATTGCCTTTTTTTTTAATTTTATTTTTTAAGTAGAAAATAGGGGTGGGGTGCATTATACAAATTTTTAAATATCATTCCTATATCAATAATTCGTAGAAGTTTGAACAGCCTAGCATTAGCCCTATTGAGATGATATGAAAGGAGGTTATTTAAATTTCAACACTCTGTATTTTGGAAATGACGCACTTCCGACCATCGGTATCCTATCTCAAACTACTTCCCTGACTCTATGGTTCCTCTATATACCCTAGCATTTTTGACCAGTTGAACGGAGACACCCTGTATAGGATTTTTTTTTTTTTGAAACCATCTTTATTAAATAATTGCAACAAAAGGTATAACAATTTCTTTTTAGGACAATCCTCTAAGCAGTGTATCCAACACTGGTAACGAGGTTAATCATACTTAACAACTAAGACAACAGTGACAACTTAAATATGTATAAATTTACCAATAGTATTTTATATAGTCTACAAAAATACATAACAAGAGAAAAAACTTAAAACAAAAAAATCACAAGTAGGAACTGAAAATAAAAAAAATAATAATCCTGAAACAACATCATTACCAGAAAGATACTCTTTGAGGGCTGCATTAAATTTTACGGGATTGGTTGACTCTCTAATGTGAACTGGTAACTGATTGTAGGCTTTGGAGGCCTGAGAAAACGGATTGTGCAAGCCCTTATTTGTTCTAACATTTAAATGAACATCTATCATAAAAAATTGAAAACAACGTACCTATTTGATGTACCTAATTTTTTATGATGGATGCCCATTTAAATCTTATTTATTCATATTTAAAATAAGCTAGAGGTAGGGCATAAAATAGCGGCGTTGTCCATATGAATATACATATAGGATTTTTTAAAGAACCAATCACTACTGTGGTAATAGAGTCATTGTAGATTAACTCTACATGCAAGAGATTTTCTAACTTCATGAAGCGTACCAGACGATATCTACGCCTAAAGAACTTTTGTATTCGCTCCACCTTATCTTTCCTACTTGTGGGCGCAAATAAACGATGGACTTCGAATTTAACGGTTCCTCACAAGAAGATATCCGGTGTTGTTAAAGCCGGTAACCTAGGAGGCAATTCAGTGGAACGGTAAGACCAGTATAACATTTATTTTAACATAAGAGCCAATTTTTCTTTTGTAGGTACTATTAAAGTCTGTTTTTTTATTAAAGATAAAAGTCATAATGACTTAGCCTCAAAATTGTCAAATATTGTAAAATAATGAAATTCGCGTGTCAGTTGGTGGGTAACTATTGATCCCTGAACTATTGTAACCAATGAACTATAACCAAAAACTGGAATACGAACACATATTGACGAACGTGAAGCCTAGTGCCGCTGCTGCGGAGGGGATACCTGTTTTTGTCGCACTCATTATGTTAAATGGCGGAAAAATTGCTTCCAACACGTATTCCAATTGATGAAACCTGTGAAGGTAAATATGACAAAACTTTCCAAAACGTCATATGTCAGCGAGCAACAGAATGGCTTCATTTTTTTGGCAGATATGGCAATGTGTGCGCATTCCAGTTTTTGGCTATAGTTCATTGATTGTAACTTACCAAGTATAGTCCAACAAATACCATTTTAAAGTCACGTGATTTTTCTCTATCCTTGTTGAATACATCTCAAACAGCGGTGATAGTAAAATTGACATAAAAATTGCTGTCTAATTATTGTTCATAATATTCTTAGCTGAAATAGAATCCGTCACTGTCATCAATTAGTTTGTCAAAGTTATTTTCAGGCCCTGCGATCTCTCATTGCCAGTTATAAACCACATAATAACTCTTTTCCGTTTTTCTAGATGTCGCTGACAACCACAGAATTGTCAAAATTGGAAAATACCAGCACATCAAGAACACGTCCAATGTCGATAACATTGACATGAGATTGCCATGTCAACATATGACAATATGCCAAAATATTCATTTGATCATAACTAATAATTCATAATGTTTTTTGTTCGCCGGTCTTGCATTTCATCTTTCTTTGTGTTGTCAAGTCAAGTGTTCTTAAGTGATTTCAAAGTTGTTTTGTGTGTTTCAAGAAGAACTTCAAACTCAAGATTGGAAGATCTATTTTTATCTTTGTTGATTAGATAAATGACAGGTTCAATTAAACATTAATCAGAACTTTGAATAAATATGTTAGGGATACCCTTAACCATCGATAAAGAAACTGTCTTTTGATCTAATTAACAAATTATCAATTAATTTAAGCAAACATTAATGCCTCAAAGTCCAGAATAAACAAATTTGAACAGACCGACAGTAATGCGAACAGGGCGCCATCTATCATAAAAAGTCCTTTGTAAAGTAGGTGTCTGTAACATCGATGCAAAACCAGTAAATAGTGATTTTCCGATATGGTAGATGGCGCTGGCTTGGCTCAATTTTGTTGACAACAAAATTTACACTGAGATTCCATTCTCGACAGTTTATATAGTATTTATCTCTGGTTATTTTCGAAAATATTACAACGAACAAACGCAGCTAATAATTTTGATTATATTTCGGCGCTTCATTCGAATAGATTACTTCACTATGTAGTACCGCTTTGGGGTGCTAGATGGCACCATAGTTTAAATTACTAAAAATTTTGCTCTACCGGCACAGCAGGTGGACTTACCACCAACCTTGTCAACCTGACATTATCACTTCGCTTTTGGGCGCGCTGAATGGCAGATGTAATTTCGTGACTTTTAAAGATGGGAAGAAACAAGCGTAAACGTTCCCACAGGAGATCGGGATCAAGATCTCGTTCGAGGTCTCGATCTACTAAGGTCAGCATTGACAAAGCTGTTTGGGAGAATCGTTTACAACAGCTTGTTGAAGAAGCCGTAGCCAAAGCCCAAGGACGTTCTCGGTCGCCTGTTGGACATCGTAGTCGATCTGCAAGGCGAAGCAGAATTTCTGTGAGGAGCGGATCTGTCTCTGCTGATGGCAGGAGACATAGAGGCTTGGCAGAGCGTTCTCATTCTAAATCTAGATCGAGATCGCCACATTCTCAATTCTCTAACAGAGATCAATTGTCTTTAGAACGAAGCCCGGATAGAGGCTCGGCAATAAGACCTTTGGAGCAAGAGACTCCTAAATTAAGTGTCAAAATTGACAGATGTAATGACATCCTCGTAATAAATGAGGATATTGATCTAGCTTTGTTAGATTCATTGGGCGATGACCCAGATGCTAGTGCTCCGAAGAGAGCGGATTTCCATCCAGATATTAATAAGAGATGGTCTAATATTCTAGCTAACGGTTTGGACAAACCA